ATTTTGTGTGTATTTTTAATAGAGACAGGATTTCAACATATTGGCCAGGCTGGGCTCGAACTCCTGACCTCAGGTGATCTGCCTGCCTTGGCCTTCCAAAGTGTGGGGATTACAGGCATGAGCCACTGCCCTAGGCCCAAGCCCAGGAGTTTGAGACTGCAGTGAGTTATGATTGCGACACTACATTCCAGCCTGGGTGACAGAGTGAGACCCTAAAAACAATAAAAATAAAAAGAGTATAAACTAGGCCGAGTACAGTGACTCGCGCCTGTAATCCCAGCACTTTGGGAAGTTGAGGCAGGTGGATTGCTTGAGGTCCGGAGCTCGAGACCAGCCTAGTCAACATGGTGAAACCCTGTCTCTACTAAAAACACAAAAATTAGCAGGTGTGATGGTGGGCACCTAATTCCAGCTATTCGGGAAGCTGAGGCAGAAGAATTGCCTGAACCTAGGTGGCAGAGGCTGCAGTGAACTGAAAGCATGCCACTGCACTCTAGCCTGGGTAACAGAGTGAGACTCCGTCTTAAGGAAAAAACAATGCATAAACTTTGTGGTCAGGCAAACCTTGGCCACTGATGCACATGAATCACGTTTTTGCGTCACAACCCCCCTAAGAGACAGGACTCTGATTAACTCCATTGCACAGGTGAGGAAAACAAAGCTGAGGCCAGGTCTAAGGCCACACTACTAGTAAATGACTGAACCAGGGCTCCAACCCAGGTTTAACTCTAGAGCTCCTAACTGCTCTGAGACACATGGACCTTGGTGGGGAAAATTCCAGGTATGATAAGGATTGGCACAGTCGCACCTCCTAGGTGGGAAGCCACTCACGCCCTTTCCTACCACTCCTGGGCTGCAGCGGACCTGACTGCCTGCTCCATTGCAACAAGCTGTGTGTGGCCTGGCCTGGGTCTAGGGAGGCTGGTGGAGGCCGCCCTACAGGAGGGAAAGGGTCAATCCTGGAAGGCAGAGAGGGGGCTGTCAGGGACTAGAACTGCAGGAAGAAGGAGCTAAATGACCACCCCTGCCCCCTCTCCCATCAGTTGATGCCATGGGGTTCATAGAAACAGAGAGGTCTCTAGAAAAAGGCCAAAAAGATCCTGGCTGGGCTCAATGGCTCATGCCTGTAATCTCAGCATTTTAGAGGATTGAGGCGGGAAGATCGCTTGAGCCCAGGAGTTCAAGACCAGTCTGGGCAATGGAGTGAGACCCTGTCTCTACCAAAAATTTTTAAAATTAGCTGGGCATGGTGGTGTGTGTCTGTGGTCCTGACTATTTGGGAAGCTGAGGCAGGAGGATTACGTAAACCCGAGAGGCTGAGGCTATAGGATATGATTGCACCACTGCACTCCAGACCCTGTATCAAATAATAAATAAATAAATAAACACATCCCAGGATTTGAGGTGGAGGTGGAGGCAGATGCCAGGATCACCCCTAGTCTATGAGGAAGAGCTACAGCTTCAGGTATCTGAAATAAATTCTAGGCACAGAAATGGTCCACGGCAGGGTAACATATGCCCAATGCGTGCAGAGGACCCAGCAGAGCCTTCTCCACCTGCCCCGCCCTTTCAGGGATGACCTTGTCAATTCTAAAGAGAATAGATATCACAGAGCACCTTCTGAGCCCAGACTTGTCCATCCAAATGCCAGTGTGTCATCTCTCATGGATACTTTTTTCTCGAGGCAGAGTCTTGCTCTGCCTCCCAGGCTGGAGTGCAGTGGGGCGATCATAGCTCACTGCAGCCTCAAGCTCCTGGGCTCAAATGATCCTCCTGCCTCAGCCTCCCAAAGTGTTAGGGTTATAGGTGTGAGCCACCGCACCCAGCTTCTCACAATACTTAATAGATGTCTCACAGTTCACATGTGCGAGTTAGAGACCAAGCTCTCCAGCCCAAGCATGTACTTCTTCCAATCTTCCCTATCTCATTAAATGGCAGCTGCATCCACTCTGCCACTCCTGCCAGAAACCTGAGTCATCCATAAGGCATCCATTCATTTGTTCACTTATCAAGTGGTCTGTGAGCACCGCCATGTGCCAGGCATTACATCTAATCACCAAGAGTGCCTGGTATGTAAATGTCTCATCAAAGAATTTATAGCATCTCTTTCTCACCTCCCAGAATCTACTCAGCCCCAATACCGTTCTCTCCCACTTCTAAAACATAACAAACCCATGCATTTTTCCTCCTTTTTAGTGCTATCACCCTCGTCTGAGCCACCATCACTCCTGTCTAGTTAGAGCAAACCCTCCAGTTTTGCCTCCCCATTACCCATTCTTGCTTCCTTTTTTTAACATTTTGTTTTAATGTATTTAATTTTTAGAGACAGGTTCTTGTTCCCTTGCCCAGGCTGGAGTGCAGTGGTGCTATCATAGCTCACTGTGGCCTCAAACTCTCAAACATCTGTGCTCAAGGGATCCTCCCACCTCAGCCTCCCAAGTAATTGGGATCACAGGTGCATGTTACCATGCCCAGCTAATTTTTTTTTTTTTTTTTTTTTGAGACAGGGTCTTACTCTGTTGCCTGGGCTGAAGTGCAGTGACACAAACACAGCTCACTGCAGTCTCAACCCCATGGGCTCAAGCAATCTCTGCACAGCTTTGGGATTATGGGCATGAGCCACCATGCCCACCCTCCGGCAAACTTTTTATTTTGTAATTTTTTGTAGAGACAGGATCTTGCTATGTTGCACAGGCTGGTCTCAAACTCCTGGCCTCAAGCACTCTTCCTAACTTAGCCTCCCAAAGTACTGGGATTACAGGCATGAGCCACTGTATCTGGCCTTCCTTCCTTTTAATCCACCCCTCACATGGAAACTAGATAAATCTTTTATTTATTTATTTATTTATTTTGAGACAGAGTCTCACTTTGTTGCCAGGCGCCAGGCTGGAGGGCAGTGGCGCAATCTTGGCTCACTGCAACCTCCACCTTCCGGGTTTAAGCGATTCTCCTGCCTCAGCCTCCTGAGTAGTTGGGACTACAGGCACGTGGCACCATGCCCAGCTAAGTTTTGTATTTTTAGTAGAGATGGGGTTTCACCATGTTGGCCAGGATGGTCTCCATCTCTTGACCTCGTGATCTACCCGCCTCAGCCTCCCAAAGTGCTGGGATTATAGATGTGAGCCACTGCTCCCGGCCTGAGAAGTCTTTAAATATGAATCAGATCAGATTATTTTCCTGTTAAAACATCTCCGTGCTGCTGAGGTGCTTTGTTGCACTGCCAACCCAACCACACACTAGCATTCATTTTATTCCCAGAACACGATTTCTGGACTCAGGGTCTGCATTCTGTTCCCTCTGCTGGGATACTCTTCTCTGCACTCTTTGCTGGACAAGCTCCTACTTGCCCTTTAGATGTCAGCCTGCTATACATCCCTAAAGGAGCCCCCTCTTGGCCTCAGTATAAAAATTGGGTCCCCAAGTTATTCACTCTCATGGCAAGCACAACTTCTCATCACAGTTAAGTGTAACATTTGATGTGTGTGATCCTCTGATTATCCCTTGTCTGCACTGCACAGCAAGCCCCATGAAGGCAGGGACCACGTCTCTGTCACTCTGTTGTGTCCCCAAAACAGGCATGCAATAAATGTTGGTACAACAAACAAATGTGGGTTTTTTAGAGCCTTTGCTATAGAACTTTTGTATACTGTGACCGCCCAAAAAAGGCATTTTTCCAAGTCCTATCTGCAGGGTGTCCGATGGGCTAGCACACTTCTATCAACCGTTGCCCAGAATAATTCAGCAGAACATTTGGAAACCACCGATTGGTGGGGTGCAGTGACTCATGCCTGTAATCCCAGCACTTTGCAAGGCCAAGGTGAAAGAATCGCTTGCGTTCAGGAGTTTGAGACCAGCCAAGGCAACAAAGAGAGACCTCATTTGTAGAAAAAATAAAAAAGTTAGCAGGGCATGGTGGTGTGCCTGTAATCCCAGCTACTCAGGAGGCTAAGGCGGGAAGATTGCTTGAGCCCAGGAGTGCAAGGATGGAGTGAGCTGTGATCGCACTACTACATTTCACCCTGGGCAACAGAGCAAGAAGCTGTGAAAGAAAATACAGAAAGAAGAGAAGAGAGGGGGAGAGAGAGAGAGGAAGGAGAAAGAAGGAAAAAAAGAAAGGAAAGAAACAAGGAAGGAGGGAAGAAGGAATAAAGAAAGGAAAGAAGGAAGAAAGAAACAAAAGGAAAGAAAAGAGAGGTGGGAGGGAAGGAAGGAGAAAGAAAGGAAGAAAAAACAAGGAAAGAAAGAAGGGAAGATAAGAAAGAAAAAGGAGAGAAAGAAAAGGAAAGAGGAAAGAAAGAAAAGAATAAAAAGAAAGAGAAAGAAAATTACTAATATTGTGGTAAGCGCCTGGCCACAGGCATTGAGTCTCAGCTTGGCCACCCACTACCTGTATTACCTTGAGCAAGTTATTTAATGGCTCTTAGACTCCATCTGTGAATTGGGGGTGGCTGTGCCTACCTTACGGGGTTTCGGTGTCAGTTAGATGAGACCTGGATGTAAAGCTCTCTGCACGAGTCTTGACACGTACCAGTGAGGACTTGTATTTGCCTTGTAGTTAATAGCAGCTGCAGTTGTAGTAAATATATTTCTCCTACTTTTTGCTGCTTATTTGGATATATTTACCTTGATTATCTCTGAGTAACACACCTGTGGGGTTAGGCCAGCCTGAGGTTCTTATTCCCATTTGACAGATAAGGAACCTGAGACTCCGGGAGGCAAAATGTTTGGCTCAAGGTCCCTGACCCTGCTTAAGTGGAAGAGCTGGATCTCACGTACAGTGCTGCCAGCTGCCAGCTGCTGGCTTCATACCAATGCCCCCCCCCCCACCCCACCCAAACACACTCCATTGTCCTGGTAGGTGACAAGCTTTGTCTGCAGAGAGGGCTGAGCTTCCCTTGCCCCCCAGGTCACAGCTGGAGTCCTTCTGACAGCACCTGTTCCCAGACCAACTTCCCAGTTTGGAGAGTGGGTACCTGCTTGGGGGCAGGGGGACGTCTTACCTTTTTTCAGATGCAGGGCTCACCTGTCCTGGAGGCTGTCAGTGGCTTCTAAGGTGCTAGGAGGTGGTGGTGGCTGTAAGGAGGGAGACACCGGGATCCAAGAGCTTCAAGAGATAGCAGTGACCCTTCCTCCTGTATCCCTGCTGCTGAGGGAGCCTCCAACAGGGTCAAACTCCAAACTCCAGCTTAGTGCTGGTGGGGAATTAAAGGAAATGTGAATGATCTCCCCCGGGGCAGAAGAGAGGCTGGGGCCCAGCCCAGGACCCTTGAACTCTGACCAGGTGGGGAAGGTGACATGCCCCACACTGCCCACACCGTCCTCCACCCGGGCCCTCACCTGGGGAGGGGGGACCCATGGTGTGGAGAGGTTGGGGGATGATGGAGCCCAGGCACCATCCTGCTTCACTCACCAGCTCTTCCACTGTCCCGCCTCCTCACTGGGGACAGGCAGGCTCGGGACGAGCTGGGGGAACGGAGGAGGGGGGAGGAAAGATGCAGGCGGGGGATGCAGGGGACAGAGGCAAAGTGCCAGAAGGGACGTCCAGCCACAGCCCTCACCGCAGCGGCAGCAACAGGAACAACAAGCACTGCTTGAGCCACCCCTTTCCAGGAGCTCCTCCAGACAGAGGTACGGCAAAGAAGAGGTGTCTGAGGCCCTGAAAAACCATCAGGAGTGACTGAGCCATGGTCAGGAGCCCACATTGGCCTCAGGACATCAGGAAAGCAGTGGAGCACAGTGAAGGATTCTGCTGGAGGCTCAAAGCATCCCAAACTCTTTTTTTCCCTTTTGAGACAGGATCTCACTCTGTCACCCAGGCTGGAGTGCAGTGGTGTGATCACAGCTTCCTGCACTTTTCCTATTGCTGCTGCTGTGGTGAGGGCTGTGGCTGGCTTTCCCTCCTGGCACTTTACCTCTGGCTGACATGATCATAGCTTATTGCAGGCTCAACCCCTGGGCTCAAATGATCCTCCCACCTAAGCCTCCCGAGTAGCCAGAACTACAGGCATATACCACCACACCCAGCTAATTTTCTCATTTTTCGGGTAGAGACGGAATCTTGCTGTGTTGCCGAGGCTGGTCGAGAACTCCTGGGTTTAAGTGATTCTCCCACCTTGGCCTCCCAAAGTGCTGGGATTACAGGTGTGAACCACCATGCCTGGCCAAATACCAAAACATTTTAAAAATAGTTACTAGTATTTGCAAACCAAGAGGCTTGAAACAATTCTAGAATGCTCACTCTTCTAGAACAACCTGAAGATCTGGCCTCGCCAGTTCCCCATGGCCACAGGACAGCTGCTGACTGGAGAGGAGTCTTGGCCTCCCCCTCTCACTCCTTCACTGCGCTTGCCGGGTTCTGGGGGCCCTCAGCTGAAGGCCCTGTCCTGGCACCAAGTAGCCAGAAATAAAAGCAGTGATGCACACGTGCCAGGCTCTGTTCTAAGTGCACGACGTGACTTTACTCACTTGATCTTTCCAACAGCCCTCAAAGCTGGGTCCTGTTACCTCTAGCTGCACTGGCTCTCCTTCTTCCCCTCCACCGATCAGTTTCTGATAGTCTACACTTGCAGCTCCCTGTGGGACACACCCAACCTCCCTGCAGGGTAGGCATTCACTGCACAGCTGCTGGGAGAGTGTGGCAGTTAGGAGAATCACTTAAACCCGGAAGGTGGAAGCTGTCGTAAGCCAGGATTGTGACACTGCACTCCAGCCTGGGTGAGACAGAGTGAGACTCTATCTCAAAAAAAAAAAGTAGCTGACAAAGAGTACAGATCTTATGATTTCATTTACATGAAGTTCAAGAACAGGAAAGATGGATTTGTGGTGACAGAAGTCAGAGAGCAGGACCCAGCGATCAACTGGAGGAGGGTGGGAGTGTGCTCTCAGAGGTGATGGAAATCTCTATTTTCTTGAATTGGGTGGTAATTTTATGGTATATACAATTGGTGAAACCCATTGAATTAAATGATTAAGATTTATGCTTTTTTTTTTTTTTTTTTAGACGAAGTGTCACTCTGTCACCCAGGCTGCAGTGCAATGGTGGCATCTCAGCTCACTGCAACCTCTGTCTCCTGGGTTCAAGTGATTCTCACCCTCCCAAAGTGCTGGGGTTACAGGCGTGAGCCACCCCACCTGGCTGACTCATGCATTTTATTGTACGCAAATTACACCTTTAAAAGTGAGAGCAAATGGCCAGGTGGGGTGGCTAATGCCTATAATCCCAGCACTTTGGGAGACTCAGGTGGATGAATCCCAAGGTCAAGAGATCAAGACCATCCTGGCCAACATGGTGAAACCCTGTCTTTACCAAAAATACAAAAATTAGCTGGGCATGGTGGTGCACACCTGTAGCCCCAACTACTAGGAAGCCTGAGGCAGGAGAATCGCTTGAATCCTGGAGGTGGAGGTTGCAGTGAGCCGAGATCATCAACATTCCAGCCTGGAGACAGAGCAAGACTCCATCTCAAAAAAAAAAAAAAAAAAAGAGAGAGAGACATCAAGCAAATATACAAGCAATGAGTTTATACAGAGCAAATACAGTCATTGCGAGTCTGTCTCCCAGATTTTAATCCCAGCCCTTTGTTACCACATAAGAAAGTAGGTCTTATGTTGCCAGCCTTCCTTTTTCAAGAGAAACCTCAAAGTCTGGGTTTTCTTTTCCTTTCTTTCTTTCTTTTTTTTTTAATAGGAACTCTGATGACTTATAAGGTTTGACAATTTCAAAAACAACAAAATTAGTTAAAATGCTGGGTGAGTCAAAGGATGTACAGGGCTCTGGAACCGGTAAAGTCTCGTGTTCTCCTAGTCAGCTGAAGATGTGATTTCCTCCTGGATTTTCTACAGCCTTTAAAAAGCAGGCCTTCACCCACCCACATCCCTAACAACCCAAATGTTGCTATTTGTTGCGAGAATTGAAAAGAGAAAACCCTCAAAACTGAAATAGATAAACTTTCCTAGGCAACATGCAAGCCTGAAAGAGAGTCCCTGTTAAGACAAGATACATTTTTTTTTTTTTTTGAGACGGAGTTTCGCTCTTGTTACCTAGGCTGGAGTGCAATGGCGGGTCTCAGCTCCCCGCAACCTCCGCCTCCTGGATTCAGGCAATTCTCCTGCCTCAGCCTCCTGAGTAGCTGGGATTACAGGCACGCAACACCGTGCCCAGCTAATTTTTTGTATTTTTAGTAGAGACGGGGTTTCACCATGTTGACCAAGATGGTCTCCATCTCTTGACCTCATGATCCACCTGCCTCAGCCTCCCAAAGTGCTGGGATTACAGGTGTGAGGCCCAAGATATATTTTTTGACTTAGTAACAACGAGACCTTGGGAAAGTCACTCAGCCTCTTTTAGCAATCAATTTCCTCCCTCCCTCTCCCAAAATGATACAATCCCCCAAGTTTATCACAAGCTGCCTACCTAGCATTTAGTTGACACTGAGAATTTCAAGGTTTATTCTTTCTCTTTAGGGTGGCTTCAAAGAGGGAAAACTATACTTTCTTTCCTTTTTTTTGGTTTTGGTTTTCTTCGTTTCTGTATCTCCATAGTGTCACAGTTCTCACAAACCTGGGTTACTTTTCATCCACAGTAGTGCAGGAGCGTGTGTGGGTTAAGAACTCAGAGATGGGGCTGGGCGTGGTGGCTGACACCTGTAATCCCAGCATCTTGGAAGGCTGAGGCTGGGAGATCGCTTGAGCTCAGGAGTTCGAAATTGGCCTGGGCAACATGATGAAACCCTGTTTCCACAAAAATTAGAAAAAATATAACTGCGTGTGGTGGTATACACTTATAGGCCCAGCGACTTGGGAGGCTGAGTGTAAGGATCACTTGAACCCAGGTCGAGGCTGCAGTGTGCTGTGATCATGCCACTGCACTACTCCAGCCTGAGTGACAGAGTAAGACTCTGTCAAAAACAAAAAACAAAAACACATTCAAATTCAGAGACGGGAGTCAAGTAGACCCAGGTCCTTATTCCGGTTCCCCACCTCCTAAATGTGTATTCTCATGCAAATGATTTTTCTCATCTGAAAAAAAGGATGTGTAATAGTAGTACTTAGCTATTTTACTGGGAAGATTCAATGTGATAATACATATAACGTTCTTCTTCTCTCCCTTCTGTTCTCCTCCTCCTCCTCTTCCTTCTTCTTTGTTTTGAAGTGATTCTCACTCTCTCGCAGGCTGGAGTGCAGTGGCACGATCTCAGCTCATTGCAACCTCCTCCTCCTGGGTTCAAGCAATTCTGCCTCAGCCTCCCAAGTAGCTGGGAGTATAGGCGCCCGTCACCACGCCTGGCTAATTCTTGTATTTTTAGTAGACACGGGGTTTCACCATGTTGGCCAGGCTCATCTCGAACTTCTGACCTCAGGTGATCCACCTACCTCACCTCCTAAAGTACTCACCGCCTAAAGGCATGAGCCACTGTGCCTGGTCCTCTTCTAAATACTAAGTTTTATTTTTCTCTCTATTTATGAAAGTCTAGTGTAGTTTTCCAGAGACTAAGTGACATGAGCTGCAGTAACAGACTGAATACAGAAGCAAATGCAAGACTCCAGCTGTCTTAAACTAGGCATTGAAGAGATTTGCAGAAACAAAATGATGCCACTCTTTCCACTCAATCTTTTGGAAAAATATGGGGTTTAAAAAAATAAAAAATTATTTAACATGCAGTGGGTTGATTATTCTTTAAAAAAGCAGGACATGGGCCAGGCATGGTGGCCCATGTCTGTATCCCAGGACTTTGGGAGGCCAAGGGGGGGTGGATCACCTGAGGCCAGGAGTTCAAGACCAGCCTGGCCGACATGGTGAAACTCTGTCTCTACTAAAAATACAAAAATTAGCTGGGCATGGTAGTGGGTGTCTGTAATCCCAGCTACTCAGGCGGCTGAGGTAGGAGAATCACTTGAACCCAGGAGGCAGAGGTTGCAGTGAGTTGAGATCATGCCACTGCACTCAGCCTGGGTGACAGAAGGAGACTCACCTCAAAAACTAAAAATAAAAAAATAAAGCACTACATATTTTAAATTGTTTCTTAATTTAAATGTCTAATATGGTAAATATCTATAGCTATAGTCCAAGCTCCTTGAGTATCTCGGTGTTAGGGGGTCTTGAGACCAGTTTTAGAACTGCTGCTCTATGGTCAACTTGCATGAGCCTGTGCATCTAGGAGAACTCTTGTAAATGTTATGTCTAAACCCAAAGCCACATAATCTGTTAAAAAGTGTCTTCTGATGACACTTCTGATTTTCCTTACTGGAAAATCTATTTATGGCAGTAGATTCTGTTGGGGTACAAGCTGTTTATATCTCAATAAAGCTTGCTGGTCAGTGTATAGTAGATTGTTAATTAATCAACAAGGTCTTTTAAAATTAATCACTAAACACTTTAACAGTAGGTCAACCACGGCAGAGAGGTTAAAATTTGGAGTATGACTTGAAGACACTGGAGATTGTTGAAGTGGAACAAGATCCTGCAGAAGCCAGTTGACCAAAACTTCCACCAGCACAAATCTGGGTTATAGCAGGTGGTTTACTGATGACCCACTGCCATGGGCATTGGTGGCGAGTTCCAGCGTGGGGACAGTTGT